TGTACTTGTTTTTTTTTTTGTTTTGTTTTTTTTAAATCTTTGCTCAGGTTGTTTGGCATCCTTGTTGTTTCTTCTACCCAAACACAATCATCAGGAGGCGTCCTGTACTCTGTGCGGTTCTTCTTGTGAATATAGATCAATTTTAAAACGGCGCCAGAATACTAATAATTGAACCGTCGTTTGTTTTTACCGTTTCTGCTACAAATGTGGGATTAATAGATGTTTGTTTGTTCCAATAAAACATTTGCAGAGTTGAAGCTTTAATTCGTAGCCTGCAGGGGCTCTTTAAATGTCATGTTAGTCATGTTTATGATCTTATTTGGAGCCGAGTTCAGTTCACAGTAGAAACGGCAACATTTTATAGGTTCATCTGGGACTCAGTTGTTCCAATTTATTGTAAACTCCCAACTCAGTGCATTGAAACCAAACATGGAGTACATTACTAAAAGGTATCCCCATATGGATGATGAAATGCAGATTTTCCAACCTCACAGGTGGCTTCAGGTGCATTTATACAAGTGATAGGGTGATAACAGTGAGGTTGATATGAAAAAATGGCCACTTATGCATTAAGTCTTATTGTAAAATGTCATCACTACTAATTACTCCACATTGACGATGTCATATTTGGTTCCTGCTTGTTGCTGAATGTTTCTGGAGGGGAAGATGAGGAGGCGGGTCATGGGGTGTGTGTTAGTGATGCACTGCAGGATTGTGGGGAGAGAAGCAGTGGTGAAGCGAGCAATGTGGGGAGTTTTTTTTTTTTTTCTCAAGATGTGGAAAGGGAAGTAAAATATATCTAATGTATAACATTGGAAAATATCCAAACTGGTCACTGCAGGGTCAATTGAGCTGCTCCGCTGATCTGACAGACTCGTGATTAAAGACGTTTGCGCTCGCAGGTCTGGTGTTTTAGATGTATAGAAGAGTAAAAAAGTGTGAATGATTCTCTCTCTCTGAGCTGTTTGGTTCTGTTGCGTTACTTCTTTAAACTGTAGCGCAGGAGGAAAAGCTTTTATCTTTTTAGTTTTAAACTGTGACCCGTTTAATTTTCCCTGTGTTCATTGGGTAAACACCATGACAGTCTCAGTGCTCTTTCGTGTAATTGTTTTCATCCCCCTCCTTCTCCTGTTCTCATCCACTTTCACACACATTATTACCTCTTTCCTTTTCTTCCTGTGTATGTGTGCGCGTTTCCGCCTCGGTGTGAAAATCCTCTCTTTTCCGTAGATAATGACGGAGCGAAAGAATGCCAAAGCCATGGCAGGAGGTTCACTCCAGGACAGGATGCAGGCAGGGCTGGACCTCCCTTTACAAGGTGCGCTTCATCAACATATGCACCCTCTGTGTGTGTGTGTGTGTGTGTGTGTGTGTGTGTGCATGTGCGTGGAGAGACAACGAATTCTGCAAGAGACACGAAACAGTAAATGTTATCACCTTTGGGGCAGTGTGGGAACACAGTGAATGTTTCACAGTAACATTCTTTGCTAAAGCGGCATGTTTTTTTTTACCAGGAGCACAAGAGCAGCTAGAAATACAAGTCATGTTGGAGTCATTAAGCGCCACTGATGTGGCTCTAAATAACAACGTTTATGTCTGTGGGTACAAAGCTTTGCTTTGGTTATGCTGTGTTAAGCTCTACTGTTGGCAGAAGTGTTGATTACTTTTTAATTAAATAGAATTCATTGGCTGCCCATTATTTGGTGAATGCATTTGTATTCCCTAAATAAATAATTAAAAAAACAACAACAAACAATTACGATAAAAGAAAAGTAAACACATTTAAACTCTAATGTATTTACCACCCAGCAGCGTCCTTCCTCGCTCCCATCCGGTTTTTTTATCAGAACTACAAATTCTGAAAAATTATCCAACGCCTTGCAGGTTTTAAGGGCTTCGGCTCCAGTGCACAAGCATAATGACTCGGTGTTGCATCATCTCCTCTTTACACTGTCGCATTTCCAAGACAGATGACGGAGAAAGTCTTTCATGTCATTTCATCAAACACATTTGTTGGCAACCGTTGGCAATGGTTTAGAAATGTCTAACCCCACCTCCCCCCAAACCCTGAATCTTTTATTAAGGTAGCATAATTTCTCTCAGAAAAAGTTAGAAAAACCCAACCTTTTAATTTTAGTACATTTGTTCAGTACATACAAATGTAAACAGTTGTTACTTTTACAAAAATAACTGGTTTCACAAGTATCAGTGCACTGAAAATTCCCATTAAAGCTGCATTGGGAGTCCTGAGAAAACTGCAACATTTGAACAACTTACAAATCCCTTTCTCAGAATTTGGGGACTCTGCAGCAAACCCGCAATTATGAGCTGGAACGACACGAAGGGTGTGAGCAACACTCATGCGCACGTACATGAGTGTGATTGGCATCGCTAACACCCTCCTCTTTGGCTCTGATTGCCTGTTCCTGACAGTTTGATATCGACAGAAATGTGAATTACCACCTTTTTTCCAGTAAATATTTGTTTATAATACTTAATTTACAAGAACGTTATACTGAAGCTTTTTATTTCATCTAATTAAATAAAACTCAACAAACCCTGCTTGCGCGCAGTGCTGAGTTTGAATTGGGTCATGTGATGTCGTTTCACCTCTAGCCTGGTTTTGACACTGAAATATATCGCAGCAGAAACATGAGATCCTAATGTTGAGGTGGGAAAAGGTGCAATTTAATGCACTACATTGTAAAACACTTCCTGTTGCTCCAAGCTGTTGTTAATGTTGTGATGAATTTTCCCCAGCAGAGTTTCCCACACCAAAGACGGAGCTGGTTCAGAAGTTTCAGGTCCTCTACCTGGGCATGATGCCCGTGGCCAGACCAATAGGTCGGTGTAACGCACTCATATGTGCCTGCAAATGCAGTTCAAAATTTCCCTGCAGTGTTACATGTGGTGCAAACGTGGTTTCATTTGTGAATCTTGTTTGATTTGCTATAATATTCTCTTTTCCAGGCATGGACATACTGAACGGAGCCATTGACAGTCTGATTGGCTCTTCCAACAGAGAAGACTGGACTCCTGTGGCCCTTAATGTGGCAGATGCCACTGTGACCATCAGCAAAGACAAGGTCAGACATCTGTTGCTTGACTGCTACCGCTAAACTTTCCTGTGTTCTTTCTCTGCTGCTTTTTTTTTAAAATAGAAAACGCCTTCTTAGACAAGTTAGACACTTTCTCGTGCTGCTGAGTTGATTTTATCTTTTGTCGTTTGCTCAGACTGAAAACAGATTAGGCTTGCAATAAGATGTAGCCGTTGCTGAGTTAATGAGGTCTAAGTAGCTGTTAGCGCTCACTACTTTAGGATTTAATGTACCTTTCCAACAGCTTATGGTAATATGACGTCTTTCTGCTGCAGATTAAGGCCAATAAATACTTTGCAAGATCAGAGGAATTCGCTGTCTCTCCCAAAGCTGCAAGAACAAAGTACTGTCATTCTGTTCCTGGTTTTTAAGTTCTTACAGCTTGTTTGTGAGGCAGAACCTGTCTCTTGTGTTCCAATCAAGAGAAAGAAAGCTTCCTGGGTTCATGAATGTTTTTGCAAACAAGAACTTTGTTCTTTTAGCCAGGAGTAACTGAGAACAAGTTTTTCTGCGCTTGCAGTAGTGCTAGTGGCCTTTAGGGATCACCCTTGAACTTTGAGATTTCCTAAAGGCTGGCTACATTTCAAATGAAGCCTATTCGATGACAGAGGTTAAATACTACAAAGGTTCAATCAGGAAAACTTTGCTGCGCTTTGTTCAACAAAGTTATCACCTGGAGTCTTGCTCTCGCTTGCTTTCTTGCAAGACAGACAGGTCTCTAAAAGATAATGCATTGAAAAGAAAATATAAAACACATTTGTAACCCATATTTTTGTCACTTCTCTTGTTGCTTTTCACATTCGCCAAACTTCCCTGCACTTATTGATCTTGGGTACTAAAATCCACCTCAGCTATGAGTTTAATGTAGGGTAAAAGCCTACTAAAAAGTTATTACAAAGCAGTTATAATCCTCCATATATTATATTGAAACTCTGACTTTATTGTGAACACCTCATTGATTTTGAAAATGGACAGGCTTCACTTTTCATCCCTCCGTGCCACTGAGGATTGTATTTCAGCAGATGGTGTGCTCACCCCTTAGAAATGTTGAACATTTATTGAATCATCAGATTCTAATCAGCAGCTAATTTCTTTGTGAATCTGCACATAAAGTGAAAGACGGTCAGAGAACTTCTGAATAAATGTATACGGCCGTTGAAGTGCACGACTCGGTCCAGTGGTTGTGCTCATGTCTTATTCAAATCAAATGTTTTTGATGAATCTCTCACCCATATTTCTGACCAGGATGAAGAGGAGGTGCTGGTGGAGTGCCGCGTTCGCTTCCTGTCTTTCATGGGCGTCGGCCGTGACGTGCACTCGTTTGCCTTCATCATGGACGCTGGCGGCCATCGCTTCGACTGCCACGTCTTCTGGTGTGAGCCCAATGCCGGAAGCGTGTCCGAAGCCGTGCAGGCAGCTTGCATGGTGAGTCCAACTGGACCCGAACGCACAAATCGAAGAGAAGAAGTAGGACGATTACGAAACTAAAGTTTGGAGGCAGAAATTGTGTTTCATTTCTTCTCCCCTTTGAATAAATAACCTCAGAGCGCAGTGTTTAAAAATCCCTGTGCTTTTATCCTCCTGCTTTACATGTGCTGCTTTAACACTAATTAACACCAAAGAAATGTATTGCTTTGATATGTCTGCATTTAATATTTATAAGGCATGCATTAAAATCTGAAAAGAAACTGAAATCAATTCAATTATCTTTTTTGTCAGCAATGACGTTTGAGATAAAGGCTAATAGACACATAACAGTGAAATAGCATAAAATAGTTATTTAGCTTTGGTCTGATCTCCAGCAGCATTAACAGGCACACACACACACACACACACACACACACACACACACACACACACAGACAACTGGGCTGTTCAAAGAGTACAACATATCAGGTTAACAACTGCACCATCCATGCTTTCCCCACAGTAATTAGCTGTACAAACTATTTATTTCTACTCTCGCTCTGTCATAACAATAATGGCTAAATATAAATTTGATTAATGTTGCAGATGGGGCTGTGCATGTAATTTGTATGTGAGCTTTGTTTTCCTCCTTAAACATGAAATCCTTCCCTGTTGATCCACAGTTAAATCACAGATGCTCAATTACCAACGACTGATTGCTGATGGAATAACGAATGCTCAATAACGTTTTGTACCTCACGTCTGAAAGTGGGCCTACTTTCTTTTCCCTTCTGATAGTCGTTCGTTTTAAGCAGGAAGGCGCAGATCAATATCAAAAATGATTGAAAGCCATTTAGCTCGTTTTGACATTTTAAGGTGCAGCACTGAATATGTCAGTGTTTCAGGGTCCAATGGAAACATTTTATTAATGCTGTAGTGAATTAAAAATGCATGTTCTCACGATCCAAAAATATTGTATTTAGAGTCCAACAAATAAAACGGAAAAAAAAAAAAAGTTTGTAGTCACAACTTGACAACATTAAGGGGATATGAATACTTACAGAAAGGCACTGTGTGCAATTTTCTAAAATATTTTTTATTTAACTTATCATCATCATTGGTGATAACTGTCTACAGTAATACAGAGTGAACGACTGAACACCAATGATTTCACAGTGTGTTTATTCCGTCCTTATGTTTGCTGTGTTTACAACCCAAAACCACCATCTGCAGTGTGTGGAGTTTGTGCCAGCCCGTCGGGTCGGGCTGCACCTCTCCGTATACCGGCTGACGCACGAGATTGGTTCGCTGCAGGCGAGGCCATTGATCACACATCTGAACTTTGGATATATGGCCACACGCAGACCCACACGCTCCGAAGCAGATTGACGGTGACAAGAATCGTTAGTCATTACTATTGATCACAGTCGGCAGCCTGCGCCGGTCCAGCTTCCTCCTCGACTCTCCGTCTTTCTCTCTCTCTCTCTCTCACACACCTCCACCGCCGTCCACTCAGCAGCTGTAACTCTTCGTTATTTACAGTTTTCCCTCCTGTGTTCTCTCTCTCTCTCTCTCTCTCTCTCTCTCTCTCTCTCTCTCTTTGTCTCAGCTGCGGTATCAGAAGTGTCTGGTGGCCCGGCCGCCGTCCCAGAAGGCCTGCGGCTCGTCGCCCCCCGGAGACTCCGTGTCCCGTCGGGTATCGACCAGCGTGAAGCGAGGCGTCCTGTCTCTCATCGACACCCTCAAACAGAAGAGACCCGTCACAGAGCTGCCGCAGTAGCGGCGGCGAGCCGGTACGGGCTTCCCAACACGGCTCTCGGTCACCACGGAAACATCATCGCTTCGCCGCCAAGACCCCCGTCTCCATCACAGACTCCAGCAGCGGTAGAAAAAGCTACAGGCTTGGTGGAGTCTCCAGTGGCTTTTATTTTTTATTTTTTTATTTTTTTTGGAAGCAAATCTTAAGCGTTTCTCAGTCGAGTAGCTGTTTGAAAAAAAATAAATAAAAAATAAACAAACACGATTCTGAATCAAACAGGAGCATCCAAGATGGTCGTGTACATGACTCTCATTTCTGTCAGTAGCGCCGCGAGGAGAAGAGGGAACAACCTGAAGAAGAAGCAGGAGGCGCTCCTTCAAACACAGCACACGTGCCATGACCGAGCTCATCATCGCCGACCAAAACGCTCATCTCTCCATGCTTTCTGTGTACCTGTGTCCGCGCCTGTCAGCATGAAGCTCCACACCGGGCCACGCTCCCCTGTCATCGTTTTAGTCTGTAGTGGCTCTTCTCCCTCTCGTCGTCCTTTTAGTGAATCTAAACGTCAGAACAAAACCAAGAGAGAGAGAGAATGAGCGAGAAAAGCCATCGTGTTCTTGTTCCTGGATGAACAAAGGAAGCTGCTACGGACTTGAGAGATTCCAGTGCAACCTGTTCAGCTGAGTGTGCATGAAGTTGTGTTTTTTGTTTTTAAGCTAAATGTGAACCATTCGAAACAAAGTGGAAACAGTGCTGCTGGTTTCAGAGACAGGAGGAGGAAAATCATTTTTTGGCCTTGGGACGAGCGGTGACTCGTCACCTGAATCATCCTTCCTGTTTACGTGTTTTTCTTTATTTTTCTTTTGCTCTGGTTATCTTTTAAGAAATTACAGATAATAGCCATATCAGAAGAAGAGCTGTGGGACAGTTTTCCCCTCACTGGTATTCAGTGCTAGACTTGCTGCTTCAAACACAGGAGAGACATCAGCATGCTGGAGGGAAATCTGATAGTTTCTCTTCAATCCCACCTCACTCCCTGGAGACGCTGCGTCCTCTAATAAAGGCGGATCACCTGGGGGAAGAGAAAGGAGACTTTAGGAATGTGTTTTTTTTTTCTATCTCTGCAGGATTGTTTGTGTTCAGCCTTCGGTTTTCAAAAGAAAACCCATCAGAACGTTGGAGGGGCTCAAACCGAGCAGGACTTTCTGGCGCTGCTATCTGTTTTCGAGGTTCTTCCACAGGCCAGAGTGCTTTTGTTTAAGAAAATCTTCTTTTCAATTTGTTTTCACCAGTGCCATGGGTCTGTTTAAAAAAACAAAACAAAACACACAAATCCCCTTGTTTCCCTTGTCTAGCTCTGTACTGTCACATATCTGACATGTTTGGATGTAAGGTCATCTTTTATTCCACCTTAAGCCTGGAACAGTTTGCTAAGCCCCGCCTCCAGAACGTTACCCAATCACAGCACCAGAAGCTTTACGTTTGACTCAAATTATGTTAACATTGGGAATAGTGCTTAAAAACAATTAACTCATAGATCTGACAGGTGATACAAGATGAATTCAGGGGGTCGAGGCTTAGCAGACTAATTGTTATAGATCAATTGTCCTATGAAAGAATTAGTATACCACCAGGAAAAAACTGTTGGCTATATTCTTAAACTTTTTTACGTTTAATGACATACTTCAATCTCAAAAAAGGTAAATGATGAAATTATTTCGTTTTAGTTTTATGTGGAGACATTAAATCCGCCCATGGCTTCAAATGCGGGAGCTTCTTTCTTTTAAAATGATTTAGATTAACTTGCCTTCAGTTGGTGTAAAATTGTTTTAAAATGATTTAGATTAACTTGCCTTCAGTTGGTGTAAAATTGTTGTAAGTCCGTCAACAGCCCTCTCCCTAAAGGATTTGTCGACTCATGGGGTATCGACTAGCGTGAAGCAGTGAGATGTCGCTGAACTATTACGACCAATGTCGCTTGTATGTGGGAAAAATCTGTCACGTCTAGCTAGCACAGCGTCACGTGACTTGTAGACTTTCCACTTGAAGCACAACAACAACAACAGCGCCCCCTGCAGTCAAAATTCCTACTGAGAAAGTCGGAGCTCGCCTTACAGCCCAGAGTTTTTGTCCAATATGGCTGCCTTCAATACGAATTTTAGTTAAAGTAACATGTATAAACTATTTATTAGCACCTCCTGATGGTTTCATATTCATGTGCATTATCGGCGTTTTGTTGTTTTACAATTGGAAGACTTGATGCCGTAAGGAAAAATAAGATGGCCATCCTACACATTTAACACTATAGCAAACATAATTTGATTGATAAATAAACCGGCATGTTTTTGATTTAATTCTTCTTTGGTTTTATTTTTTTTATATATACAGATTGGCAAAATTTGTGAAATTTCAGTTGAACAAAACACAAACATATTTGTTTTATATATATATATATATATATATAATATACATTTTTTGGTCATTCAAACTAAAATAATCAACATCAATCAGTTTTTCTGTATAACGCACAAAAATATTAATTCCCAGGTTTCCTAAAAATACTTAAATCCTCCTCTCAGTATTATGTGTCATCTCGATTAGATAAGTCAAATCGTTACACACCAACACATAATACTGCGTTATGACCGGTCCGTTTGGTAAAGACGGTGCACAACCTCGGCCCTTTGCTGCTGTTGAGCTTATTTGGTTTTAAATTAGCCATACTATTTCTAACTTTTGATTTTTAAAATACTCATTTTCGTGCCTTTTCCGTTATTTTTACTACTTACACTTCTATGTCTTCCTCGATGACTCCATGAAATAAATCCTGATGTGCTTGTAATGCAATAATAACGTAAAACCTAAATGGCACACTCTGCTTCAGTGAGAGTCGGTAGTTTGCAGGAAGAAGTCAACAGTTTCTGTGTGGTGTACTAACTCGAGACACGAGTGTTGGTCCATCTTTCTTGTTGTCTTGCCCGTAGCTCTAAAGTGAATTCATACAACTGAAAGGAACTTGTTTTGTAACAGAGACTGATGGGGAAAATCCAGCGGCTTTCCCTTTTTCACAGAAAGATGTTGACGTGTGAATAAGATGACATCCGTGTGTACAGAAAACCCACTCAGTGTAACGTTTATCGTTGTTATAAGCTATGTGTTTATTTTTGAATGTCTCTTTATTTTCTTATACGTTATAAAAACAATGCCTTTTCTGAATCATACCAAATGGCCAAAGTGTAAAATACGTATATAAATTGTTGTAGATAGGAAAATATGAGAGCAAATAATGAAAAGCGAGGAGGCGATTGGACGTTTTTACACTTTAGTTGATGCTGAAATTAACTGTGCGATTTTTATCTATGCATTCTTTTTGATCTGGAGAAAAAGGAAAGTCACGAGGAGCGTTGCATGATCGAAAGAGAGACCGAGTGTATTGAACAAAACTATTTTTTATTTTATTTATTCTATTTTATAAAAGGTATATACTGATTTTATTAGTTGGAAGCGAGTCTCTCGATGCCGTCATTATTTCAGACCCCAGTCCACTCTTCAAACGTCACAAAAAGCTCCCGGTTCGCAGAAACAAAGCAGATAAAGGAATATATCTTCACCCTGTACAGTGATCACTTACCGCTGAGGGTCCACTGCTGCTCAGAGCGTCAGACTGAGGAGGAGGAGGAAGAAAAGGGCAGCAGCAGTGGACTCGCAGCCTTTCTGTCAAACTCACACAGACACACACAGTCCATTCGATGGATGTGTTAGCTTCCGTTTGCTGCTCACCAATTTGTACACTTTAGCAATGTAACCAATTGTGAGAATAAATGGCATAAAACACACTTCCTGGTCTCTTTTTATTCGAGTTAAACCACACATATCCCATTTTTTCCTCTTTAATCTCTTTTCATTGAAAGGTACATTTGAAAGATGATTTTAGAAATCTGTGAAAAATAAACTGGTGCCTACGTTTGACAATAATAGCGGTAAAAGTTGCTCTGTCACCTTATATTAATAAATGTCAAAATATAAAAAGGTTGTTCCGTCCGTTAGTCTTTACTAAGATCTGAATATTTTGAGGACATGCTCAGTCCTCGGCATGCAGGACGACACCTTTGTTGGTTAGTTGTTTTTCTGTGATGGACTAGTAGCCTTAGCAGGTCTGTACCACGCCTCATTCAGGGACTGAGATTCATAAAAATAATCAGAAAAAATACCGAAGTCTCAAATGATCTTAAAAATAATTCAGTTTATTTATTTAGTCCAAGTTCACAACAAATGTCACCACAACAATCCACTTTAAAAGACAGACAGATCCACATATGCTTACATCAGCAGATTCAGATTCAATTTGGGCCCCGTTGTAATAACATGCAGACCAGTTCTTTGTTCAAGTTCATCCAGTTCCATTCAGTCACTGACTTTTGCAGCGATCGCTCCTCCTGAGCAAGCATGTGGTGACAGCAGAGAGGAATGATGAACTGACGGACATTTTGATGCTTTTCTGCTGGAGAGCATCAGTTATATAACAAGACGATCAGGTCCTGAAGGCTGGAGAGTATTTTCTGAAGTAAGACAACTGTATGATGGACAGTGTGTGTGTGTGTCTATTTTTTTTTTATAATTCACTCAGAGAGGATGACGATGCTAACTGTGGGTCAGAGGTCGTAGACTGCGGCCGGGCGACAGAGCCGCTCGGGGAAGAGATTGGCGGCAGAATGTGACCTGTAGCCGTCGGCGCTCCCTGCGTTTTCCTCACGTTCCCAGATTGGCTCCTCTGTTTCTCCAGGTTCCTCTCTTCTTCTTCCTCCGGTTGGATGTTTTTCCTCTCAGAGGCCGTCTGAGGGGCAGACTGAGCATGTGAGAGATGTTTTTCTAGGACTGGAGCGGAGCCCTCCTGTAGCTTCTTTACCGGTTTTCCGCTGATCTTGTGTGCAAGAGCTGTGATTGGAGACAAATGTCTGGAGGGTTTTTCAGCAGACATTAAGGTCAGCGTAAGACGTGGTATCCGTCTCGGTTTGCTGTGCTGAGATGGATTTACTTTTCTCTTTGCTTTCTTCTTTTGCCCTTTAGCTTGATTTTTCAGGCCTGCTGCATCGCCTCTGCTCTGTTTCTGATTTCTTTTGCTTTTTCGTTTTTTCTTCTTCTCTGACTTGGTCTTACTGTCCTTCCTGTCAGCCTCATTTTCTCCTTCCTCTTTGTCTTCGTCTTCTGAAGGTAGAGCAGGATCTACTCCATCACTGATCTCTGCTGCCTCAGGCTCCTCCTGGCTGGACGGAGATGAAGGCCTGCTGGTGCTCAAAGCGACTCGTTTCTTCTTCCTTTTGCTCTTCTTTGCAGGTTTTGATGGTTCAGGAATTATGCCACCCAAGAGGCCCTTCGCTGCCGCCCTTGCCAACACATCCTGAACTGATTCCACCTTTGTGGGATCCGCCTGAAAATATAAAGGTCAAAATTACTACATTTATTTAAGAAATGTCTATATACACCTTTAATGTTAAATACAGTTTCTCTATCCTGTGAGGAAAGGTAGATGTTAATGTGGTCAGATTCTGCTTCACCAATCTGTTTCCTATTTTGTACGTGGACATGGGGGTATTTCTTGAACAATACATAAAAGTTGCCTAAGAAAATGCTAAAAATGTTACCCGTAATTTAGGTAAATTGTGTCAGATTTTCTGGAGATCTTATTTTACACTCGTTCCATGTAAATTTATTTCATAGGAATGTTAGAAGTAGGGTAAAATTGTCAAGTGGAAGTAAAAAGATGCATTGTTTTAAGAATTTTCTACAACTAGAAATCTGAATAGTGTGGAGTGCATTTGCCCCCTGCTTACCTGTGGGCGTGGCTTCACAATAAGTTTAACGAATTGACTAAAACCAATCTGCATCAGCAAAACCAATCAGGATCTAGGTTTTTGTTTGGTTTCAAATTGGTATTTTGGAAAATCTGTTCAAATTGCATAACAGACGTAGGATCCACGTGGGTCCCACATATCACAGATCACACTTTGTCAACTTTGTCCCTTCTGGGGCCAGTTTTTTAGTTAATTTCCTGTCCATATGGGTCCCATATGCAGAGCAAATGCTTTCCAAGACACTTTCATCAGGATTTCCTCTCTTTGTGCGTCTGTGGGAAGCAGGGAGCCAGTCCCAGACGTGAATGTGCCATCTGCTGCTCTGATGGGATTTTGCCATCCGCATATTGAAAGTTGATGTATTTAGGTTTGGTTTTTGAATTTTCAGATTTCTTCGTTGGCTTGCTCCTTCTGCCCATCTCCACTTTGGCAGCCAGAGACTTCTCCCACTTAAATTTTAATACAAGGCGACACTAAAATCCTGGTAAAAACAAAATCATTGTCTTGTTAAATAATAACCTAGCCTGCTTAAAATTTCCGTTTTGTCATTGAGAATATTTGGCTTCTGTTTGGGGGTTCTGGAGTCTCCCCCACATGTCCAAATGTTTCGTCTCACTAACATCCTTTGGTTTGCGTGATGAAGCTGCGTTTTCCCCTTAAGTTCCAGCAGCATTTTTCAATTGAATTTAAATCCAGGGACTGAGATGGAGATTCTTGGAGACTTCTTCTTTGTGGACATGAATGCAGCACTGGAGGCTATGAAATTATTGCTCGTCCAGACACAGACCTGCTTGACTGTGATTGCCATAATGTTTTGATTGGCATGCGTGACCGTGTCTGCACAGACAGTTCCAGCTAGCCCGTCTTTATTTTAGAAAATCAGCTTCTGCACAGTGACTTACAAAAGCACTTCCATTGCCTACAGCAAGAAAATCTGACTTCAATAACTATTATATAACAGCCAGAGGGGATTCAGGAGTCTTAGTGTCATATTTGCAAAAAATATTCATAATCCATGAACACATTTTGTCACTTCAACAACATAAACAGAAAACTGTTCAAGAGATCTGAGTTTTAAAAAGTTTTTGCAATCAAACATTAGAAAGATGTGGTGCATGTATCTGTTCAGCAATGTCTTCTCTGATCCTCCTGAAAGAAATCCATTGCAACCAGATGCCACCTGATGCCAGACGTGTTGGAAAACTATCGGAGCACATCACCTGGAACGTAACATCCTAGCTGTAAAACACGGTGGTGTCAGTATCATGCTGTGTGGATGCTGCCATCATACAAGCAGGCCAGCAAACTCGTTTATACAGGAGAGAGCAAAGGACAAATAGAAGTGGATGCTACATTTTAAAGATTTTTTTAAAAGCCCCGCATATCCTTTTACTTCCAATTCCCAACTACACGCTGCTTTGAGTTGCATTAAAAACCCAGTTAGATAAATTCAGGTCTGTTTTTCCAACATAAAGTGCAACAACATTTTGATGCTTCGAATACTTTGCAAACTCTTGTATTTATGGTCGATTATGATCTCTAGTCAAAGCAGCTCAGAACTACAGATGGATGATATTTTGCTGCAGGGGTATGAATACTAAGGCAAAAGCAGTGTGAGATTCATTCATTTTTTATTTTTATTTTAATGAACATAATGGTTTTGTCCCTATAAGTATCAATTCATCAAATGGTTTTAAATTGAAGTAGATTCAGTGGCGCATCCAACTCTTCTGAAACATTCATCACATCTTATAATTCCTGGATTGTTCTCTGTGCTGATGCTCGGGCTCTGTGGCTTCACTGCAGGTTTCCCCCCCCCCGCCCCCAGCTGCAGCGGATCAAAGCAGCAGCATCTCATTTCCTACTGTGGTACTTGTCTTGTTTTATGAGTGAAGAGAAGACGGGAAGAAAGAGAACGGGACAAGCAGACGAAGCGACGGCGTGATGCAACATGACGGCGAAGGGTAGAAGGAGGGACGAATGCCACAGAGTAATCCGTTTAGTTTTGCTCTGAGGCACTGAGACGAATCCCGGGTTTGAACATATTTTGTCTTCAATTCGTCTCCCTTTTTTTTTTTTTTATTGAGTATTAAAATAGTGCTGCAGTATTTCTGCGGTGCAGCTCCCTGCATTAGTGTGTGCGCGTGTGTTTGCACGCCAACGAGCTGACTGACCTCCCAGCAGACAGTAAAAGAGTGCCGCCTCAGCACTTCTCAAAGGTCTTGTTGCAAAGTAATCAAACGCAGACACACACTCTCGCACCGATATAAATTCTCCGGCGCACCAAACACGCACACAACAAAATCCTCGCTTCCCTTCAATCTCCGCCGCAACCTTCACCTCTGCATTTTTCATTTCCCACATCTCACACTTTCTCTGACCTCCGTCTCTCACCTGCCGCGACAGTCTGGCTATGAAGCAGCCGTTGGTGAACTGAGAGGGATGGAGCCTGAAGAACCTGGAGTCAGTTTCATCCCCTGAAGCGGAGTCATCAGGGAAAATAGGCCCATTCACCCTGAGAGACAAGTTGGGTAACATTTAAACAGCCTGGCTGCCGTCCAGAGGAATATCGTTACTGAATTACTGTACGGGTGTGTGAGAGGAAAAGCATTTGTGTTCGATAAACCAAACCGAAGAATACATTTAATATTCGACGGCGTGAATCCTGCCACACCTGGCAGGATTAGTTGATACAATTTTGTATTCCCTTCATTGGCTGCCCGTTTCTTTAAAAGTTGATTTTAAGCTCTTGCTTTTAGTTTTTAAATGTCTAAATGGTCTGGCACCTCTTTATCTTTTTGAGCTTTTACATTCACATTTCCCCCAGTAGACCGTTAAGATCTCAAGCTCAGACGCTGCTGGTTAACAGAGCGCTGCTGAAGGAGGAAATGACACAATGGACTTTGGCATGAGTTTGTCCAGATAAGCTGCGATAAAGCTTAGGACTGTGAGGATCTGGCAGAGAATCAAAGAAACCTCAGGGTATTCATACAGGGGGGAGATCTTGTCCGTAGTAAATGTGAGCCAGGTGACACACGGGGGAAGAAAATAAGGGTGGCGCACAATAACGATTAACAAGCACATGGCGAAATATGTCGAGACAAGATGACCACAACACAACTGAAATATTACATCAGCTATAAAAGAGTGACGTTTAGACCAAAAACATTTAGAGAACCAAAACTGATTAGATCTGCAAGGTAAGCAACCTTAAATTGATGTAAATCAAAAGCAGCTTAAGTACTTATATCTCAACCTGTTTTTATTTCAAACTCCAGTCCTCCAGGCCTGATGTCCTGTGTCTCTCTGGCTTTGCACACCTGGCTCCAATATTAGCTCATTAGCAGAGCTATTTAGAGTCTGACTGGCTGTTAGCGATGCAGCTTAGCCGTTTAAATGTGAATGCAGGACAGGGGGACTCATGGTCACAAACCACTGGTGGAAAGAAACAATGTGACAGCAGCAGGTTTAGTATTTGTACCTGAATGGCAACAGTTTGGGGTGAATGTGTGTTTTCTCCAACACTCTTCCGACCAGCTGCTCGTTTTCCTCAGGGCACACTGAGCGTGTGCAGTAGACCACCGTCTGGACTTTTGGAACTAACATGAAGCACAAATATAAAGATCCCAAGCGCTGTGATCACAAAGTTTTTATGTGATGGCCATGAATGTACTTTAGAACATCAGAAATCCTTTTGTTTATGAGGCACATTTATGTTTAATCCTGGCACAAACTGTTGTTTGTTTAAAATGCGCAATGTTTACATGGCAGTCATTGTGCTCGTGTTTATCGCAGTTTATACTCACAGGACAACGCGTGGGCCAGCAGCCGGGCCTGCTGGGTGGTGAGAGAGAAGATTTTGCTTTTGGAAATCGAGCCGTGGGATAAATCTGGCAGTAGGCTCCAGTCTGTAAACACGAGTTTGACAAATTCAGCTGAACCGAACCTCTTATTTATGAAATGAGAAGATATTTCTAAAAGAAAAAAAAACACAGTTTTTTTTTCTTTTTCCATGTCTGTAATTGTAAAATGATTAGTCAACTTTTGTTTCATTTCCATCAGTGTTTGGGGGTTTATAGCTTCTTACTTATGCAATCATTTTTATGCTCAAGGTTGAGAAATGTGTGAAAAAAGAAAGAAAACCATTGCAAAGCAGCTGAAAAGTCAGTAAAAAAAAAAAAAGTTGGTCTCATTGTTGGGAGACCAAAGTCAGACATCAGTGCTTAGCGCAGTAGCCGGCCTTGAAGAAAATACTGACTCCAAAACACCAGCTCTATTAGTTCATAAAGATTTACAAAGCTATTTGTACAGGGGAGAAAATGAACTTAGGAAAAATGTTGTCCGAGAGACCTAGCAAACCGGGACTCTATGGCCAGCTCAGTGTGCCAGTAATTTCCCACAGTCCATTCCATGTTTAAATTGTAAGGGTTTTAACTGAACCACAGAAATTCAGTCAGTAAAACTTTATTACAAGTTTGCAGCTAAAATTCTGTCAGTAATGTTTTCTATAGGAACTGATTGTTAGGCAATAATAATAATAATAGTAAAAAATAAAATAAAATCAGTGTAGCTAATTCTACACATGTGGTTGGGAGGGAAGTCAAAACACAGCGTTTGCTGTTCATTTGGGATTTCCTTGAACTAATATTGTTAAAATCTTTTAACTGGTGCATAAAAAAGTAAAATCTAAAGTTAAACTACACGTTATCATCTAATAAACTTTATGCTCACAAACGATACCTGGAGCTGACTTACTTTAGCATAAACTGCAATTACTTTTAAAATAATCATTTTTTTCTCCCTCTACAATTATATTTACCTTTAAAGATCAAACAGTAATGTTTCAAATGCATACCTCCATGCTCACTGTGCATTGTGGCGACTGGGTCATTGAGGGCAGAGGACGAACACTGAGGCAAAACTACAATGACCTTTAGCCTGTGCACAGCGCTGTCCCACTCATTCAGACTGCAGAAAGCTGCTGGCAGGACTTTGACATCTACAACAGAATGTAGAAAACTCAAAAATGATTTTAAAACAGAAAAAAGCCTATGCAGTGCGAAATATTTAGTAGACGTATTAGTTACTTCGCATCTGTGTTTAGAAGGATTAATAGCTTAAAGTTATTTTGAGTTAATTTTGAGAATTATTTGGCACTGGGTGTTACAAAGCTTTCAGGTCAACAATAGAGCAGGATCTGGCAACTTGATATGCAGGTTTCAAATGCAAGTTAAGCTTCAGACTTCATTATCCCCTCGTCATGTTAAGCTGCGGGTCATACCCACGGCTCCACGGCTTTTTGTCTGACGTCCTCCCACGGAGTTTGTGACCCTGCCAGACGACACCACCACATCGGTCTCAACCTCATAAGTGAATATGCTATTTGTAAAACGCTCCATCAGAAAAACTAAAACATGCACTTAATGTGCTGGGATTTATACAACGAGAGATCTATAAAGACTTTGATAGGTCCAAATTAAAGTAGTCCTTGTCAATATTTATTTTTATTTTTTTTTTTAGATGTTTCAAAAGTTTTGTTGGACTTTGGATGCTATTTCACTCATTTTCAATCCTAACCATTTTCAGATTCTGTTCTTAAGATTGATGTATAATTGTTTCCAACATAAAAGGTGATGCAACACTAAACAAAGAACCAATTTTGAGCTTGATCTTTATACACTTGCTTGCCAACAGAGTAGTTTCAGTGACAAAATCTGTACATTTCTGTATCAAATGAGAATAAAAAACACAGCATGAAAAACAAACAAACAAACATTTTTTTTTGCCTGAGCTATCGGTTTCCCAAGGAGCTGTTTGCTTGACATAAAACTCTACTGAATATAGATGTTACTTTGGTAATCTTTCAGGTTTTGTTGTATTTATTTTTTCCTTATTTGTTGATAAAACCCCATTTATCCTCTGTAACAAATAAAACGATCACTTAGGCTATATTTGTCTAATATTAAACTTTGTCTGATGATGAGAAACATTTGAGTGTGACCAAAAAAAGCAAAGCAGAATATATCCGTAAAGGAGTCTGTACGTTTTTCACAGAACTGAACTGATGCATACAAATCAGATCTGTTTGTCTTGTAATGTACCTTCAGATGGCATTTCTTCTGCGTCGGCACTGTACAAATAAACTAAGCTGAACTGAATTGTTTCTTACTTTTGATTCCCATCTGAGAGAGCAGATTCTTCATCTCTTCCGTCTGCACAGGAGCGTGGTCGGCGCCGCACACCAGAACTCGGCCCGACCGAGCGGCGGCCGCCACAGCTACGTGAGCCACGGTCAGAGCCGAGAAGGAGCCCGCCAGCAGGACGTCCCCTTTATCAAACAGGATTGGCCGTGACACGCTCACTGCCAAACACACACTCCTGTCCTGCAGAAACACAACACACACAAACGTGTTCCTCCTATAGGGATGCAGGGCTTTCCTGTTTGTACTTATTCAGCATAACAGAGTGATGTGCAACCAAAATGAAATCACACAATTTTAGACGTAAACTTTAATTTAAAAAAGTGCAGAATGTCAAACTGGGTTCAGTATTTGGCTTGTTTTTTTTTTTTTGGTTTTTTTTTTAAGAAATTGTAAATGTTTGTCAACCTTCTTTTATTTTGCCCTCAAAAAAGTATAAAATAACTTAGAGCTTTATACCAATGATACCAGTGCTCAATGAACCACCTCTGGAGTACTTAAGATTACAGCAGGTAGCAAAAAGAGGGACATTTTAAACTCATAAAACTATTTGTGATGTTTATGCTGTTATACACTGATTATTATGCCTGAATATTATCCTCATTTGGTTACAGGGCAAGGCTTTAATTTTAAAATTTTCACTGAAATAAAGAGTAGAAAAAATACACAAATTCCAAAAGCATGTTAAAGAAAATATTTTGTTGCTCAAAAACACATTTTTTTTTAAGGTATTTTCTTATATAACCCTTTGCTTACAGCTGCCTTGTGCTCCAGAAATAAAAAGCCGTTTTAATTCATGTTTAGAGGAATGCAGACATTTCTACCTGGATGTTTAGCACACGTGTGGTGGTGAGGACGCTGCTCTGAAGAGGTTTACAGAGGCTGCGGGAGAAAACGAGCGTGTCTGGACAGAGAGGGTCCTTGGAAAACGTTGAACCCGTGAGGTCAGCCATGTTCTTCACTTCACTGAGGTTGGCACTTCGTAAGATTTCGCACATTTCATCTAGGCTGCAGAGAAGAGGAGAAAAAAATCAAAGTTTTAAACTGAGCCAGACCGTTGAGCTCGTCTGCAACAACCCGCTGTGCTCCGGTGTGAAACAGCGACTTTAGATGAGAGATGATTCAAAGGAGGACGACCAGTTTTAACTCTCTCTACCTTGTGAAATGTTAAGAATGAAAACTAAGCAGTATCCTATGAGAAACTACTGGCAAACGTGTCACTATTAGCGGCACTTTTTATACATCATTATCCTCTATTTTCTAAAAAATGCCTTATTTACATTTAAATCATCATCCGTTCTCAAACATTGAGGAAAAATCTTTGATCACTGGATGAGGTACAAAAAAAAAAGGAAACTTTTACATTACTTGGACTTTCAACTTCTGTGGGTTGTAGAAATTTCCCCAACAACTATTCTCTTCACGTCATACCTGCACGCAAAAGCCATAGACGAAAAAAACAAAACCGGAAATCTGCACCTGGTGTTTAAAGTGTTGACCCATGCATAGAACGGTAAGGATTTGGCCCTGCGCTCTTTGGTTCGGAGGGAATCGGACAGGAAACGGGAGACGCTCCGCAGGCTGTGTTTCACCCTGAAGCGGGCCAGAGATGCAGCGAGTTTGATCTTCCATCTGGAAGAGATAAACGACAACACAACCACGCCAACGTCACGATTGTAAGCATACTGATGTTGCATGTTAATATGACACTTTCCATACAAAACACCTCTGAAGGCTTTTCTCCAGGTCTCTGACTTCAGCGACAACCACCTGCTCTCCTTCAGCTGGATGCCGACGAAGCAAAAACCTCCTGTCCTGGAAGTCATACAGCATCACCATTGCCAATGGCAACAAGTCGCTGTACTGTAAAACACATAATTTGTTAGTTACAAATAACAGAATAAGAATTTCTGATGCACCAATTTAGAGTTTTTTGCAACTATTATAAAAGCCTTCCCTGCAGGGGGCTCCTCCCTGCATGGCAGTAGTAATAAAAAAAAGGGTCAAAATCTCTCAATAGGTTACAAAATCAGAATAAAATATGAACTTGGTGATTGTCAGTAGTACTTTGTTAAATTTTATTTTCTGCAAAACTGCCTCTATAAACCATTTTCCTAATTTTTCTAAATAACTTAGGTAATTTCACATCTCTTTTTGGCTCATGTAACATATTTTTGTATTTGTCTAATTTTTTTTTCTGTCTTTCTAGGAGACATATTGAATGTCGTGGGAACAGAAATGTAACTCCGCTGCGCCTCTGGGCTTGTTCTGTCTGGCCAGGCCTCCGTTTGAGGAAGACAAATCTGATCCAATGAAATAAACAACAACAACAACAACAAAAACTGGCTTACACCTAACCTGGACAGAAAATGAATGCATGTGTGTCTAGAGGTTGGAATACAGATGCTGTGTGCTGAATAATAAAGGGATCTGTGGTGCCTTTATGGTCTCACTTTCAGACTAACGACACCTCAGCCTGTTTCACTGCATGTCCCCCATCCTTCAATAAAGTTACCATTCAGGCGCACACACACAAACATGGCCACACACAAGTGGGCTGCTTTGTTTTATCAGTGTATGTGTCATTGCACATTGTTTTATGATGTAATTTACAGTCTACAAATTGCGGAGTGTGTCATCCTCTCTCTCGCATGCGTCGCTTGTCAGCCATAACCAGCCAGACTGCATAAGATCTGAATACAAATGGGCTTTTAACTGCATCCCTGCTGGTCTCACCAGCATTTCTTCATCTGACGACAGAAAACCTACACATGCACAGTCAGTCAGTGTTTTTAAAACAGATTTGGGTTTGTGAACACTGAAAAGTTGAACCAGATGCGACTCACGATGTTCTGAGATTTGTGGAAGAAGCTGTCAGAAATCACGGCCTCCAGTAAATCTTGGTCTAGGAGGGGAAAGCATCAGGTGATACATAGAAAATAAACTATATTACTCACCTTTGTTTAAATCATTTTTTATTTTAGAACTAGCAGCTACCATGAACTCAAAGTCTGCAGAGCACACAGCATTCATCAGGAACTGATTAGTCAGTGTGAAACATATTTTACCTCAGTGTTACTGTCAGAAAACGTTTTCGGCGTCTTGCTGCCAGCCGAGCCTTGGAGCTAACCAGGAATGTGCTAAACACTGATAAACGAAATTGATTCAAAAAGTCCTCGCAAGGAGACATTGGTCTCTCTCTGCTGACACAGTTTGCTCATATTTCAGAAGAGCTTCATGGAGGCATGTAGAAATAAAGCTCGCCGTTTGCCAGAGGTAGACGTAAAACACTCATGGAGGAACAATTACAACATAAGTTCTGCTCAAACCAGGATCAGGGCACTGAGGGGGACAAAAAAAACAAACTTGTACTGAATTATTTTACACTGAATACTACATGAACACACATGAAACCTTTCCAATTAAAAGTCTTGCCCAGTGCAATTGTAATGAAGTCATGCTAACTGTCACAGAAGTTGACAGAACGGCAACCAGTGATATCACCACTCTCTGTGTAATAAGAAATGCTACTTTTATGTGAAAATAACAGGATGCAAAGATGGTTTAAAAAAATGCCATTTTTCCTGAAACATTTAGAACTTTGTTTCTGCTGATTTTGTCGCTGCTCTGTAACATCAACTTGCTGAAGAAGATGGCATCCTCTGTGGCTTTATTTAATTATCGGTATTTGCTTTGCGAATCAGATGTTGGGCAGATAGTGCAAAAGATGTTTTAGTTAGATCCTAACGATTATTAGATACTCCAAGCACTGTTGGTGCAAGACCTACATCACAATTTATCGTTTAGGATTAACACATCCTGTTTTACCCTGCAAAAATCAGATAGGACACACAAATCAAATGGTCCAACTGAAATTTATTCTCAGAAAAGCTTGTTTGGGTTTTTTTTTTTTTTTTAAATCACAACTTGTGTCCATCAGGACAAACACAAAAGTTTTAACTTTGTTACTTTTCCATATTTTCCCATGTGACCAACTTCAGCAGAATCTATTATACAGTAACGTTTTCTGTCCAATCAACCCACCTCACATAAGTGGTCATAAGCACTCATAAAGCGGATTTATATTCATGCCAACTGCACCTCTTATCACCTCCCACCCAGACATCTGCTGAACCTTCAGCTCCAATGATTTGCTCTCACATGGAGAAGTCAATTGAACGACTATATGCCATTTAATCTACGGACTGCATGTTGAAGTTAGTATTCACCAAGCAAATATTGGAGCTGACTGCAGCCAAAGCTTTTCATTACGGAGATAAAAGCCGCCGGCACGGAGGTCGTTGAGGTCTGAGGAGACGGCAACGAGAGCAGGTACAATTAATTTAGCAGCCATGTTGCCTCTTCAGAAAACAAGTCTTACATTTGAGGGTGTTGAAAGCGAGCTGGTAGGCTTGTTTTTGTGTGGCCTTGTCGTCGCCGCTGTTGAGCGGTAGCGTGTCGGTCCTGTTTTCATAGCGCAGAAGCTGACAAGGTTCCGGCTTCTCTCTGCGAAGCCGCTGAAAGATGGCCGCTGCCTGGAGAAAGACCTGATCTGACGGAGGGCCGACTGAGGAAGATGGGACAAGGAAGACGACAGCCGTGAGATGGTGGGGTGGAAATGTTCAGCCGGAGCAGTGGAGAAAAATGAAAGCCCTTCGAGGCCCCGGGGGAACATGGACATGTAATCCCAAACTTCAGTGTGCAGTGAGGTTGATTTTTTTTTTTTTTTTTTATTATTATTTGACACTTTTGTATTTCATATAAATTTCAACAACACTTAAAATTTCAAGTAATACAACATGATAAAATTAAAGTTTATTCTAAAGAGAAAAAAAAAAAACCCAACATATCTGGTGAGAAAATGAATTAGAACAATGCCAGATTGATTGGGATTAATTGGGATTTTACCTACTTGAAATACATTGCACATGTTTATATTGTATGGAAACCCATTTCTGCCACTCTGTTAAAAAAATAAAAAATAATAATTATCTCAAAATAACGAGATGGCATCTCATTATAATTAGATACTATCTCATTATACTATCTCATTATAATGAGATAATTATTTTTTATTTTTTTAACAGAGTGGCAGAAATGGGCTTCCATAATATTGCTACTCGGCATTTTGAAGGTTTGTCCTCTTTAAATCTTAAACAGTAGAGCAGGTCATTCGAGCAGGTTCACCCTGAAAGCAGGTCGCAAAACAATGAAAGAAGTCTCCAAAAACCTTAAAAATGTGTTAAGGAGGCCTACACATGTTTACATCACAGTATAATAATGTAAAAATAGAAAGACACGAATAACTTTCATTAAAGTGGTAGAAAGATTATGACTTTGCTTTGCTTTACAGAGAAAATAGGCAAAGACCAATGCCTATAAAATATTGCTCTGTGTCAAGAATTTGATTATTTGGAGAACAGAACAGAAGACACGTTCTGAACAAACCAACTGCAGTGTTCTGGGAAAATAACCTCATAGCTGCGAAGCTCACATCACAGAATCACCACATGAATTCTGCTTTATGAAAACGATCCAAAGCTGACAATCAAGAGTTATAGAGAGTCCTCGATCTAGTCAAAGTCCTGAACTTGAACTCTTTGAGATGATGTGTGATGGGACTTGACACAGGCTGTGCATCAAGAAGCCTCTCAAACATTTCACACCTGAAACTGTATGAAGCATTTCACTGAAGTCATAGGAGGTGGGATGGAAGAATTAACTTTCCTCAGTTAAAATTATTTTTTCACTTCTTTTGTTAAATGCTTAAAAAAATAGATTAGACATCAATTTCTTTTGAAAGAACTTTAATGGGATATCTTAACTGGTTTAATTTTTAACAGACCAACAAAATATAGCGCAGAGTTGCAAATTGTTTATTTCACAAAATCCCAACAAAAATATTTTTTGGTTGCCAAAATATGGACCAGCTCAGAGTAGAAGGCCCGGTGTGCGTTACACAGTCTTGTTTGTTTAATTGTACGGCGTCACAAAGGTGTACACTAAAACGGCTGAAAGTCAAACTTTAGGATAAAGTTTCAATTTGCTTTGTTTTTCCTTCATTTGATGCTCACAGATCAGCTAGCCGACTGCAACCTGAGGCTGCACACACATCCGCCGCTTTCAGGTGCCAACAAAAGCCTTTGTTCAACGTTTAGCCGCTGCCTTTTCTTCACATGAACAGAGAACAAACCGACTTGTTTACCAGATTAATAACTTTGCAGCACACTATAAAACATCTTATTTTAACTATGAGATTAAATCTCACCTGAGCCAGGAGACACCGAGTGCAGATGAGGCAGAGGAAGCAGAGAGGAGAGCGGCTGCTTGTCACCCTGATGGCCTCGCTCTCGTTGAGAGATGATAATCGGCTTCTCTTTCTCAGAGCTCATATTTACATCCTGTCCGGAGCCATCTGTACTGTAACACAGGAGGAACAGCGTGCCAGCGTCTGCCTCTCACGTTACACGCAAAGATCAGCTCAGAAAAAAAACCAAACAAACAAACAAACAAACACAGGTCAGGAACCGCAGAGAGCAGCTCCCGGTTTTTATGCTTTCCATCCTTCAGCCTTGCTGTTGCCGTCGCTCAAGCATCTAAATGAAAGCAAACAGCAGAGCTGCAAAGGTAACTAAGTTCCAGAGAATCCGGCAGGGCAGACATCTGATCCACCCTGCGGATCCGTGTCAGCGTGAGACAGTCCTGCCTCAGATGCTGTGCAAAAAAATCTTCATACGGTTTGACCTCGCTACGGGTTTGCAAACACAAACTTAAATGAACTTTAACGGGATTTTATTTTACAGATCAACGCAAAGTATGGCGTTAATTTTTTTCATGATTTTTTTTTAAAATGCAGATTTTGAGAAACTGTTGCTTATTCTTCTTTGCAAAAATGGCTCATCCTCAGTTTTATTGAACGGAGAGCGTCTGTGACCAGAAATTTCAATATTTTGCAACAGATTCTCAGTCAGACGTTTGTCTTTGTGGTCTGCAACCACAAAGACAATGGCTTTATAATGGTTTAAAAACACTTTATAATGGCTGTACCATTATAAAGTGTTTTTACGGGATTTGAATACCTTTGCAAGACACTGTAATGTGTGTTAAGTAAGTAGGCTCCTCGTGACACAATTAAGCAGATAAAGTTGCATGAATAAATAAAGAGCTGCAGTCCAACCCTGAACGAAGGCTCGTCTCTAACTCGCCAGCTAAACTAATCTGTTTGCAGACCTACGCTAGCTTTTCACCTCACTCTGACATTAAACCAGGTCTTCTCTCAGTCTGCATTCAGATTCACACATGCAAACGGGGCGTACGTCCAAATTCCAAACAGATTTTCTTTTTACACAGACATGCAAGGTCCTCTAGCCTTTAATTAAAGTTAGTGGAGGTAAAAAAAAAAAAAAAAGAAGACGGAGCATAATCCTCTTTTATTACAGTTCTTCCCTTTAAAAGCATAAGCTAGAGCTGACCAGAGATCCATGACATGCACTTAAAGTCCAGGATGGTGCCTGTGGAATAAATCAGCAAATATCAGGCCGCAGTGATTTAATGAGTGTCAGAGAGTTTACTTCGTGCTCAACAGGCCGAAACTCAAAGTCATTTCAAAAAGTGAAGCTTGTGGAAAAAAGCTGAGAGTAGTAATCTGGACAGAGTGTAACGAGTTGTTTTAATTTTGCATCGCAAGTCTTACCGTTGTCACTCCGAAGACGGTCGGTGGAAACAACATGAAGAAATGCAGCTTAAACGAGAACCCAGGAAGCCTCTGCTTCCTGCCTTGAGTTTGAAACGCCATGGCAACAATATGATAATGAAGGAGGGTTGGACCTGCTGTGTGAAAGATGTGCAGGAAAACGCACGACATGATCTGCACTGGAGAAAATGTGACCGGAGTGCATTTGAACCACTGTCCCCCCCCAAAAGGTGGAACACATTATGCTTTTGGAATTGTAGCAGAAATGGATTGGTCAAGAAGAAAAATAATATTCTTCATGGTGGCAAAAACAAGTCATATTGTTGTACAGTTTGAAGATAACAGACATCAAGAAACTCAAACTGAGGAGAAAGGACTGTAAGTATAAAACTAAATGCAGTCCTTAGTTAATAAGAAATGTGCCACTCAAACTCCTTCTCCAAAGAGTCGACAGCATTTTTATTTTTTATCTTTTAAAGTCACCCACATTTCTGAACTACTAAATATTCAATTCATGTTCCATATTTTAGTGAGTGAAAATCCCTTTACTTTGTAGTTAATTTATTTTTTTACATCTAATGTTGCAGTTCAATGCAAAAAAGGAAACTTTTTTTTTTTTCCCTTTGAGCTCAACACAAGTGATCCCCTTGAGCTTCACCTGGCTGCCTGTTGGCCTGCTCTGCTGCTGATTCCAATGCACAAGCAGGTCACAGATATTTATGGGCTGCATAACTCTGACTGACTGGATCTGATTGGTGAACGATCGTCTTGGTTAAACGAGCAGAGAAAATCCATGCTGACCTTTAGCAGGCACTTCCCTAAACCTGGGGTTTGACAAGAGAGAGAGAGAAAAAAGAGAGATTGAAATAGGTTGTAAATAACTCAATTTAAGCATTTAAATAAATCACTGTTGTTAAAAATGGAAACCAAGGTGACTGCAAGGAGAATTTATATGTGGAAAAATAAAGCAAAAAGAAAAAAAAAAGTCTCGACCTTTATACATGTAAAACACCAGTTAACCTATTTATAGTGAACATTGGAGCAAACTTAAAGAGACGTTAATGTCATTAAATGTGAATCATATCTCCTTCCAATGCATCAAACCCATTTTACTACTAATTTTCTTAATTTTTTTTCTTTCAAAATTTGACTAATTATACTAGTTTAGTAAAATTTTACTTTTACTAAACTAATTTGACTAATTTTCTCTTTCAACATGTTTAAACTCTGGAAGTTGGATAATTTTTTTTTTTTGAGAGAGTTTAAGGTGGACTGAAAACTAGTAAAAAAGCTACTCTGGTAATCCTTCAGAGAGTTAATACAAAAATAGAATAAAAATATATCTTCTCTGCAGTTGTTGAAACAAGAGAAATAATGTTATTCTTTGTACATACGGTCATATTGATTAAATTATATGTTCAGGCAATAAGTCTCATTAGTCTCGTCTAGTCTTAAATGTCATGTTTTCATTAGACGCAAATGTAAAATCATCAAACAATAGCCTTGAGTCCAATTAATCAACATAATGTTTCACTTAGTGAACTGGATAGTGTTGTGAAGATAATTATAGCTTTACACCATAAAATGACACCAGGCAGCAGACACTGACACCTACGTGCCTCCCTGTGAGCAGCATCAAGCACTGCAGTGCAAATGACAGGACGCTTGTGGCCAACGTCCAATGATCACAACTGTTTAAAGCACCTGTCACATTTATTTATTATAAGATGTGCAAAATGCCTTAAGTTATTTACATATTAGCTGGAAAAACTTTAATTCAGAATTCCAACCTTCTGTCTTTTTCGTATGCTTATTCAGTGAGGGAGGAAAAATGTATTCCAATAGCTGCAAAATGATTTAAAAGAAAGAAAAAGGATGGATGGATGCGGTACAGAGACCGTACATCTGAGGAAACTTACTGATTTATTTTATTTATTTATTAATATTTGTTTATTTTATTTATTCTTTATTTGTCCTATTTATTCTTTTATTCATATGTCTAGTTAATTATTTTCTGTTCATAATGTACAGCGTTGTAGGACAGACGGTTTTTAATATTACAACATTTCAGCGCTCTTTTCTTAGTATCTCATATTTCTTCTCCTAACTTGCTGTTTGAAGTAAAAATGTGAGTGGCTGTAGTATCGACAGTTCACCGACAGAGGGAGACATTTATCTCTGAACAGCAACAATGCTGTACAATGTGACCAATTATAAATCCTCTCACTGGCCGCATTCAAATGAAAAAAATACAAATTAAAAATACATGAGTGATTCTCGCATGACATTTCATGTGTTCTACTAAATAAAACGTTTATTTTTTTTTCCCAATACAGCAAAAACAATTTTATTTCCTGAGCCAGGATGACGTTTGATGAACTTAAATCCTTTTTTTCCCCCTTGTCCCCTTGCTCTCTCTGTGAGGTGGAACTAGCCAGCGTACATGGGGGAGATTTATCAGTGTGTTTGGAAAAAAATCAGAGTGAGGTCTTCGGGCCAAATGAGCCTCACTTCTCTGTGGGTGAGAGTACAGCTGGAGAGATTATCCCCTCCAACACGCGTCATCAGTGTCGCCTCACAACAGGCCTCCAGTTGCTCTGGACGGGCTGTGTTTGTGTGTGCGTGTTTGTGTGTGCGTTAGCTTCAATAATCAGCCCTGTTGGAGACGACGGGGTTTGTGCGGCCATAAGCTGACCTGGAATTTTTTTCAATAAAAGGTTTAATCTTTTACAGGAGGCAGTGCGGTGCCTGAGAGTTTCTCTTTCTTTTCTTTTTTTTTCTCCTTGTTTTGCTCCTTAAACCAATTTATCTGCTTGGTTACTTCAAATAACCTTTCACATGAATGTCACTCAGTCACAATATTTGCATTGCGATGCATTTGACCTCTAGTTACATCATTGCTGCTTGGTAAAGTGCAATATTAGACCAGCACTCATTTCTTTCATTTTGTTTGCATGTTACATTCATAACTGAAATTTCAGACATGAAGTTTGATGCTGCCTTTACTTTTTTTTGTGTGCCTTTTTATAAGGAAATAAGGAGATGAAGGAATCTGCAAATAGGGAATACAAACAGAATAAAAGTATTTTATTTTATTTAACCTTTATTTAGCCAGATTAGTTATTAAGAAGAAATTTTTAAAATAACAACCTGGTGTGGAAAGAAGCATTTTTTTAAGACTACAAACCAGTTTCTGAATAACTATTTATTTTAAAAAAAACAACCTGTAATGACTTCATTTGCTTTCTAGCTGGGAAAGGTGGCATAGCAGAACAGAAATAATTCTGGTTTTATTTAGTCAGTTTCAGAAACACAAATCGAAATTTACCTCATTAGATTGGTGGTTGGTAGATATACAGAGAAGCACAGAATTATTCATATCTCTGACAGATTTAAATGGAAATGTATTTCAATTCAACCAAAGAGTTGGTTTCTGACAGGACATAATGATTTCAAATGTAAAACAAAACGTATCACTTCCAACAAAAAAAAAAAAAAAAAAGAAGAAGTTGTTCTCTGTTCCTGAAAAACGGCATGTTGACAATGATTCGCCTATTATTTTACTGGTA